AGTTTTTCAATGATGTTTGCAAAAGGTTACAATTTTGACGTTCTATTTAGTTTAGAACTGGCAGAGGAATCTTAGAATTTCTGGAAACAATAACTGAGTCGAGAAGTCGCAGGAAATCTTTCTATTCGCTATTGACGCAGTTATGCGCAAGGCCAAGACAATCCGCAAAGTTATCTACTAATAAGATCTTTCGACTCATTTATGCTTCTAACCACTGAACTGCAATTACTCCTGTCCTTGGTAGAGTTAGTATCAAATCAATAATTTTAAATATTTAAATAATTAATAACTTAATTACTGAAACACAGCATAAGCACGACTCATTTCGTTGACCTGTCAGATGATCGATTGCTTCTAGTTGCTGTATCAGAGTTTGTTCAGTGGGAAACGTGAATGTTTCCGGTTGTTCCTGTCACCCGCCACAGCTGCAATGTCCAGCCTTCGATCTTGCGGCTCGAAACAGACCAGCTGCTGTAGACCATTATATCGACAGCAACCAAAAGCCAAATATTACCCCCCCGAAGAAGGCCTTAAGATGAGAACAAAATCTCGGCAGAGTTTTCCTCTCGTAATCCGATAGAACCAACTGATGTGTTGTTTTTAAATAAATCGCTCTTACACCTTGTTACAGTATTACTACCGCGTACGATTAACTATTTCGTGTTCAAATAATTTAATTATTAATTCAATCTCCCGTCACTTTGCCGGAATCCTACCGTGGTCTGCTTACGTAGATCCCTAGACCGCCAAGAGCAAAGTGACGGTGCTGCTACGCAGGACGAATCTGATCATGTTACAGGAGACTTTTATTTCTGCCAAAGGTATAAAAACTAGCAATGCGCTTGCATACCCATATTACCTGATTGATTTTTGATTTTTTGTCGAATAGGTGAGTTTAACTGGAAATAATTATTGATAAAATAATTTTTGAATAGCAACAGTATTCTTGAGAAAATTTGCGCCTTAGTCAATCAAAAAGAAATCCAACAGAGCGTTGAAATTTACTTATCTAGATTAGCCTTTCCCAGAACTACGGTTTTATGACATGTTAAGCCATCCACTTTTGCAGTTGTGACGTCACGGAGTATGTTACGTCATACCATAGCAATATTTTTCATACAGTCATCCACGACGTTTATTCGTTGCACCTTTTGGCATTATGCGGAAAATAATCCACCATAGCTTGTTTTGCAAATTCCCAACTTATTTCGCAGTCAACCAACATATTCAAAAGTTAATAACGTGTAACTCGTCCAATATCAAATTTTACGCCGCATTACATCGGCCCCTTGCCCAGTTATTTGAGGGGCCATTTAAGTAGGCCAAGACTCCATGGTATTTGCGAATCTTGCATGCTAATCGAATCTTGCATCACACCTTGCGCCAGAGTCTCGAACGACGTCAAGAGTTGGTACTCCTGAAATGCTATCGCATAAACATCAAAACATAATCGTACGTTTGAGCATATAAAGTGGAGCATAATTCCTCCACGACCAGATTTCACGGCGTACTGCCCCACCACCCTGTTGCTAGCTCCTTAAGGGGGTCATTTACCAAAGAGTGATCACTGTTTAAGTTGCGCCCAGGCAATTATGAACAAGAGGACGGTGCAACGCTCTATGACATCTGGGTTTGGACCAGATATGAGTTTATTCAACATATTTTGAGGTGTGAGCATGTTTTGAAGTTTGTTGCTGTTGTTTTATCCCAACCAAGGAGAGTGTTAAGTGACATTGACCTGGATGAAACAATCGAACTGAATACTGTTTCACATGCAATTTATTTTTGCTGATTTCGTTCTTTCCTTGACGTTGCCAACATATTCGTTCTAGTTCTGTGCTCCCACGTGCTTTTCAAGATTGCTGCTGAAGCGAGACAGTGACGCAGGAGACCGGTTCGTCAGGTTGAGACAACTGGTTGACTGCCACTAGCCAATGATATCTGTACGTAACCCAAACCTCACAACGTGCTCTATTTCCTCTGAGTTTATTTGCCTCTATGAAGTTTGGGAGATATCGGCAAGAGTCCACGAGGTTCGGTTGGCACCCGTAGTGGAATGCCGAATAACTACTCACCAAAAACACTTCAAACACCTACAACGAGGACAAATTAGATGAAAGATATTTTTCAAGAACAGCCATTGAAAATCGACTTATTTTGATGAAAGTCTTGTGGATATTCCAGGAAATTCATAGCACTCGTCTCTGAGATCATATTTCAAGCGCAATACACGTATTACACGATGATTTCAACTTGGTAAAATTCGCTTTAATTGTAGTCTCAATATTTTCACCACGAATCGCAATCTTTCAAAATGCTCTTGATGCGATAATTAAAATTAAAAGTGCAGTTTTATGACTTATGCTAATCTTTAGTTCAATAATCAACTTGATCCAAGTAGTTTTCCTGAAACTCGGGATCCAACTGAATAATATTTTTTTTTTAATTTTGAACAAGACAAATAGTACGTGTACTTTAGATTGTCCACAGGAGATTTCACCCTCGCAGTTGAACGACATTCTCTGTACACAGGAGGAAGAGTATTGAAAATAATGAAGATAATAATTCACGAAGGTTTCGATGTCATATCGCAACGAAACGACATTGCTTTGATCCTGTTTGAAGAATCAATCGAATTCAACGAACGCCTGCAGCCGATTTGCCTACCTACGGAGGAAGTCGAGGACCGCAAGCCCTGCGTCGCTACTGGTTGGGGAGTGACACGCACAGGTAGCAGATATTTACCTTCTTAAAAACAAATATTTCCATTTTTTATGTCTTTATTATACAGGAAGGGAATGGCATAAAGAAATTTATTAGTGATCAAAGTAAAACTTTAAAAACCTGAAACGGCGTTCCGTTATAAACGCACAAGAATAGTACACAATACCGTTTGCGAAGCATATAGTACAATTTTTTGTCTTGCATTTATTTTATCCTAAGGTTTGGTAAATTACGATCTTTTCTGTAAGCTCACTCATTTTGCTTTGTTTTATTGCTTTATGCGCAATTTCAGACAACGGTTAATTGATTTAAGAAAAAATTGAGTTGAAACATAAAAGTTAATGTGATTATGTCAGTGAATGTCTACTGAAAATATATTAATTATGCAAATATATTAGGAAGTCGGACGAAGTTGCAACAGGTGGTTGTTCCAACGATTTTCCGTGATGTTTGCAACGATCAATATCATTACTGGCAGATGGTAGACAAATCCATGATTTGCGCTGGTTATGAAGAGGGAGGAAGAGACACCTGTCAAGTAAGTAAAAAACTATTCATGCCGGAATTTCAACTATTTCGAAAGTCCACGTTGGTGTTGAAATTTGCCTTTGTGCACAAAATTTAATCTTTTCTTATAGAGTGCCTTTAATCTTCGTTCATTCAGAAAGGTTAGCAAGATTTATCCGGTTTAAACCTGGAAAATAATGCTTTCGACTACCAACCAGGTTTACTTCAATAAAACAACTTGAATTAGATAGAGATCAGAGTAGGATAATTATTAAATTAACTCTTTTGGTGTGTAGCCAAAACCGAAACTGGGTATAGCCAAACCAAATGGATGAGTTAGTTCCATATTTCTTCAGTCCAAAAAAACAAGAGTTCACACCTTAAGCATTTTTTATGGATAATACAACAAGCAATCCGACACCGAGAAAGTCAGGAAAAGAGAAATGTTTGGAGCGTCATTTGACCGGAGCGAAAGACGTCGTTGTGGAAAACGGTGGACCCGGCAAGACGTTCGCTAACCGACGGAACATGGTCGGCGATGATCGTCGGTTATCCTTTACCCCCGTTGGTAACTAGGAACCTTGATTGCCCATTACGACGATTGGTAGAATGTATCATTAGCGAGGAAGGAAAGCCGTGCTCAGATGGAGAAGGTTCGAAATCCCAAGGACCATACCTGTGTTGAATATTCTCCTATTTCTCAATGATGCGAAATATTTGTACGCAAACGTCTATTAGCATTTGAAGGTATTTAGAATGGAAGAAAAGCAGGGTATTGAATCGCATGTATTCTGCGCGTTTTTTTAATAAAATCATCCCATTATTTTGTTCACAATTTACTGCCTTCCTTGTTCCTGATTTAACTGAATGACAGACGGTGTGGCATATTTAGCAAGATATACAACCTGGCCACTTCAATATTGAGCAATATTATTTAATATTTAAAAAAGAAGGGGACAACGTCGAAATGTCTGGACCCAGTACGCTTTGATGATCAGAGCCCTCCCACTGTTCATAAAGCTCATGATTTGGCGTTGACCGCCATTTTTGCACCACTTGCCAAAAGTGTTTCATTTCGAAAGCGTCGTCTGCAGCAATGTGGCGAGCATAGCATGTAATATTAAATTTTTTTCTCATAGAATGGCGCTAATTTATGGACCTTAGAAAAAAAACGAATTTGAGGGATCTCACTGATCATCGAACCATGTAATTTTTGTTCCGAGTGCTGCGCGCCAGCGACTTAGCAACCACGGTTCAGGATATGAAGACATCTCTCTAACTATTTTAGAAATTTCAGCTTGTTTAATTTCATTTTTGGCAGTTATGAAGAAGTCTATTTTTGCATAGTTAAACATTATATTCCGTCAATACAATTTTTATCTTGACAGCCTGCAATCTCTCACAGGGTGTCCTGGGCGGCAGCCTCGTTAGTCGTTAGTCTCTTTCAAAGAACCGGCTCTTCCTTTAATCATGCATATTTAATGGGCAGTATTCGAAACCTCTAAAATGAAAACCGCTTGATATACTGTAGCAATAGGAGGCATTCATCCACCAATTTCTCATGAAGAGTTTCCACGTTCGAATTCCTCCCCCC